TTTTTAACCTTTTTGTTTTATTTTGGATATTGCAATAGAATTACATTTCTCCCTTCCCTTTCAAACCCATCCATATCCCTCCTAACTCTTTTCTAAATTATGGCTTCTTTGTTTATTTATGCTATTGCATGAATACAGGTATATGCATACATATTCCTAAATATAACCTGCCTAGTCCAAATAATGTTACTTGTATGCATATTTTCATGGCTGTTTGGCACTGGACAGCCTATTGGTGCTCTCTTCCTTGAGGAAAGCCACCTCTTGCCTTTTTGAAAAATATTCTTTCACTGTGCCTGCCAAAGCTTTTACATGAAGAAAAAAATTATCTTTCTAAAAGTGGTGCATTAATGGAAAAAGAGGTGTTTATTCTAATACATAATTTTCTTTATTAACTATTAAAATGTTCATTAGGAGTCCAAATACTATTTACAGGACTTTTAAAAAAATTCATCTAGCTTTGTAATTTAAGTAATTAAATTTTACATATCCTGCATCTCACAAGAAATCAGAATAAATTAACATATACCTGTTTATTACATAATTAAGAGGTGGTTTTATTTAAGTTAAGAAGTAGAACTGAAAGACACTCTGTGAATATTAATTTCCAGTGTACAAGACATTAGTTGATAAGCAAATGTGTTCTGTACTACTGAGTACATTTATACAACCACAGTGTAATCAAATGCCCATCTATGCAGACATGCACCCCCAGCAGCAGCCTGTGGGGTTGCCGAAATAATGGCATGTTCCTGTCATGGGTTGTTCTAGTGGACATTTTACCAGTTAAATATGTGTCACCTATAGGTTGTAAGTTGTAGTTAGTTGCAGTCATTAGCAGTATACATCCAGGCACTGAAAACATTAAAAAATATAGAACCATTTGATGAAAAGATCAAGCTTCTCCAGAACCCACAGAGTTGACACTGCAAATGTGGTGGTCGACAACAGAAGCAGCGGGCAGGAAGTCCCAATGAGGAGGAGTTGGTCAGTTTGAGAATGGAGTGGCTGAACTGTGTCAATATCACATGACTCATAAGCTCACCCTGCCCCTTGGCAGGCTGGAGTCATTGAAGAAGCAGCGATTCAAGAAGAGTAGACCTGATTGCTTGAGCATGAGAATTCAGAAGCAGGGTTAACAGGGGAGTGACATAAATCGCTAACTAGGAAATAAACTGGAGGTGGGCTTCGGCCCACGAAGCTCTTCAGCACCTCCTAAAGGAGTTAGGGCTCCCGATGATCTTGATGCATCTTGTCTTGTTTTGCTATAAACTTCTAAAACGTCTCAAAGAATGCAAAGCACATCAGTAAAATTTATGTGTTCTCCACATACTGGGTCTGCCTTCACCTAAAACTTCTACTATGCTGCTTGCATCACTGCCGACTGATGAGGCCGCCAGCTCCAGCTTCCATCCCCAGACCCTGCTGCTCCGAAGCACACGTTTGCATAGGCAGCTCTCATCATCTCAAGATGACCATACAGCTGCTTCCTGGGTGGTGGGGTAATTCACAAGACTGAAGTATTTATTCTCTTACAATAGCCTGGGACTCCTACTTGCCAGGCTAGCATTTTAACCCATCCCATTGCCGTTTATACACCTGTGAACAGTTATGAGCTTTTTGTATCATTTTTGATAAAAGCCAAATTGATGGATTTTCTTCCAGCTAATTGTAGATAATAGAAAAGGGTGTTCTCCCTCCAAGAGAAAAATGTCTGTTTAATTTGAGACACTACAGGCATGGAGTTCTGAGTAATTAAGAAACAAACTGAAGCGAATTTAATTTCCTAGATTTTTGTTTTACTGGGGGCAGGAGGATGCTATTTCATTTGATAAAAGAACCTTAAATTTCATATCCGCAAAGGTAAGAAACTCTGAGTTAGGACCTCTAACAGTGGAGCCAGTGTTTAACCCTAGAGCACAAATGGACTTTGGAAGCCCATACCTTATGGAGGGATACTATTGCATCCCAGATACAGCAAGAAGGGCCTAGGCCCTTCCCCAAAACATATGACAGACTTTGAAGGTCCCTGGTGGAGGGCCTCACTATCCCTGGGGAGAAGGGGAATGGGTGGGGGGGATTGGTGGGGAACATGGGAGGATGGGAGGGCAAGGGAGTGGGGGGGTGGATATGTAAATATGAGTAGTAATTAAAGAATTTAAATTAAAAAATAGAAAAAAAAAAGAGCTTGGAATAGCAATGAGTATAAGTCCATGTATTTCAGGCATGTTCTGGGAGTCTTCTGTAGCAGCTGTAAGTTGATGTCTGCTCACTGGTGAATGAGGAACCATTTGAAGGTTAACATAACCTCGAACACTGTCAAGAAGGTCCTCGGGGATTTACTTGGTTTGTGGAACAACTCCAAACTAGTCCTGTGCTTTCTTCTTTCTTTGCCTTTCTGCTTCTCAACTCTCTTTTCATAGAAAAAAAAAAAAAAAAAAAAGGAGGACGCATGGTAATGCATCATTTATAAATTACCTTGTTATTGAGGGGGGAAACACACATGCACACACAAAACACGGCTTTGAAAACCAAACAAACTCCTGCTGTGGACTCAGGCCTGTTTGATGGAGACCCTTCAAAAGAGTCCAGGGCGTAATGGAGGTTGTTTGTGCAGAGACTTCGATCTGTACCTGCTGTCCCCTGTCACTCCCTGGAAACTTGGCGGCAGATGTTGCAGCAGTAAGTTGTCTCTGAAGTGGCTCTCTGTCCTGTCCCCCCACCGCCGTGGAGTCAAACTGCATTAGATCTCCTATTTGTGCCTCCGGCAAGTTTGGGAGCGCAGCTGTGTCCACCCCACTCCTACCTTTGGAGTTTCAGGCCTCCAGGCAGCGCGAGCGAGAC